GGGGTCGTGAGCGGCCTGCCCGGGCTGCGAGGTAGCGGGGTCCTGGGTGTTACTTGTCTCGTGTTTTCGCCGTTTTCCGAACGAAACGGTAACTTTTTATTTCAGACTTTCGTCTGAGATGTGTGCACTTGCCGATAATTTATGGGTGGAGAAATATTTGCAAGAAAAAAAAAAAAAAGACAGTTGAGTGTGTAACTTGACAATTTATGAACAAATGTTAGTGGTTAGGGAAGAACTTAAGACTTGTGCTGGCTCATCTCCTTTCTCGTGATTTCTCGGAAAAAACCCCAAAAAGTGTGCTACATAGTACTGGTTGAGGAAACAAGGTTTGGAACAGGCACTTCTAGTTATATTGCAACAGCAGGGCTGTGCAATTGCATTTTCTCTGACTTCCTCCTTATGACAAATCTTTGTGTAATTTTTCCATTATACACTGCTTGGAATTTTCCACCGAGGTTTACTGTTTTTTTGGAAGAACTCTTAGCATTGATGCAGCTACTTGCACGCATCTTTATATATGTGAAAGCTAAGCTTTAATATTAGTACTGATCAAAGTCTCTGGTATAAAGACATTTACGATGAAGGCAGCACTGAGAGTGAATGGTAAAGCATCAATATTTACCTGAACAATTAGAAATAAAGAAGAGTCACGTGTCTACATATTTGTGTTATCACTGGTATGCGCAAAAAAAAAATTTGTATGGTCTACTGTGGGTTCTATTTTAAATAATTTTATAGTACTGTTTTCTAAAATGTTGTTGAGCAACTGTGCTCTTTGATTCACCAGCTGTTTGGAAAGAAACCAAGCAAGATATTTTTCCTTAGTGTCTGTTGCAATGTACTGCGCCTGTTAAGCAAGCAGAATTGTTGAGTTCTGTATATATTGATATGTATGAGAATAATTTATAGTTCTCCTCTGTAGCATGTAGATGAAGTTAAATAATATCACCTGTAAAGCCAGTCATGTTTTTCCCATTAAACTCTGAATGAACTTCTTTATCCCGATCTAGTGCAGGAGATGAAGAGACATGTCTGAGCAAATTCTTTTGGTAGTGGCAATGATCCATACTATGTAGCCATGTGCTGTCATGCTTTCTGTCTAGAACTAGTCAGTTAGTTCCAGACGCAGCTCCTTTTTATTATTTTTTTTCTTTTTTTTTTTAATTCCTGTTTTTCTTTATAGATTGAGTCAAATAGGTGTTAAAAAACAAAAATTCCACAGTTAGAAATTCTATCAGGTTGTTCAGCAAACATGTTAAACCTTGTTAGAAGGAATATTTGTTTAATTATAAATTCCAGCTAATATTTTATAACCACACTCAAAATTAATAAGTACTGAATGCTGAAAGGCTTACCTTTTCAACTTCTCTTGAATGCTTTGTCTGGGCTAAATTATAAATCTTTTTACATCTGCCACATCCTCCTAATATGTCCTGTTTGTTTTTTATGACATCACCAGCTTATGTTCATCCAAAAGGTGTATTAGGATTATGAATACATTATGTATATTAACTCTTCCTTCTGACCATCTTTTTAATATGAAGCTTTTTGTTTCTTACTTTTAATGAGATCAAGCCATATCTACATTAGTAAGTTTAGCACTGAGGACCTTAAGTTCATTTTATATATGCTTTAAGACTTCAGACTAGTACTAATCTGTTCCCATGGAGGGCTCCTGCACTAGCAATTGTAATGTGTTAGGTGTGCTCTGGAAGCATATTTTTCTAGTTTAGTTTCCTTTGAAAGGAATCTGGTTTGCTTGCTCCGAGATCAATCTGGGATGCAAACCAAACTGTCAGAAATGGAGATGATCAAACTGGTATGCTGATGTAGAACACTCACTCCTCTACACCTCCTTCTATTCCTTTTCCTCTGGACCTTTATTTTGTACTTCATTGCTGTGTTTGTTCTTTCACTGCAAGGCCCTGTACTCAATCTGTACCCTTTCCACTGTCTTGGAGTTTGCGAGAAGTTTCTAAATTACAGTTTTAACTGGAAATATCCATCACCTTTGTTAAAGCAGTGGAGCAGATAGTGTTGTTCTGTATTGCTGATATACTGGTAAAATAAAAATGTCATTTTCAATTTTTGCTTCTAAAGATGGCAGTCATAATCATCATAAACTGGATACCTT